TGACTTACGCCAAGTCCCCTAACCTCTCGGGGCCTCAGCGCAGAGCTGTTGTAGTGAGACGAAAAAAACTAAAGAGTGTCTTAATGTCATCTCATGCCACCTACCCCGTTGCAGTGCCTGCCACTACTGTGGGCTCGGTATTCATTTTTCCTTCCAAAGGTTTTGCCCAACCTTGCTATTTAGTCACCTAATGCTGTTTTCTGCATCTGAGCTTTTGTACATAAGGCATCCCTGAGGCCCACATAAGAAATACTGGCTTGTAAAACAGCACAACGTGGAGAGGCTCTGGAGGGTGCAGCTGCTGCAGCTGCAGCGCCTTTGCCAAGCTGCTGTGCTTGTTACTCATTAACACCGAGTCTGGTAAACTTGGGTGGTGTGGACACATTCCCCGGGGGCTCCCCGAGACATGTTTACTTTAGTGAGAAGCTAAGGAATCAAAGTAGTACACCCTCTCGGGCAGTGTGATCACCGTCCTCCACAGATAGTCCTGCTTGTTTGTGCACATCAGACCCTTGGCTTGTGTCTCGGGGCGGCCACGTGCGGCGAGCTCCTTTGTCATTGGTATGAATGATGAGGGTAGCGGAAGTCAGGGGCTGCAGCTTTCCCATGAGTTTTAAAGAGTCCGAGATTCAGAAAAAAGAAGCAAATATTTTGGCCACTGTGGTTAAACACTCTTCTCTGTTGACAAGTTCAGATAACCAGGTGTTCTGCATCTTGCCATTTTCTTTGCAAAATACTGTTTTTCAAGAGCCCTGCGTAACAGGCTGAACTCCTGCAGGAAGGCCCACAGGTACCAGGATGTTAACAAAAGAGTGAGACTCCTTTAACAGTCACAGTTGGTTAATACTGTTTCTCTTTCTTGGCAGAGTCTAACTTTTTATTAAATCAATTAATTAATTAATTAATTTTTAGATTTTTTTTTTTTTAATTTTTAGATTTTTGTCATAAGGTGCATGCGATGGATCGAGACAGTGAGAGGGGAAGTAAGAAATTACCCCGTGGGGGGATGGCCACACCGCTATCCTTTCTCCTCCATTCTTCTCCTGGGATTTAGGGCACACACATACACTCACCGGAACTAGAACCAGGGTCGACCATGTAGAAGTCCAGCACCACTCTACCACCTGCTGGTCAACAGAGTCTAGCTTTTCAACACCGGTTTTCCAGATGACGAGGAGGAGCAGTCACAGGAAGAATTTTTAAATCCTGGGTGAGCAGTGGCTACTGCCTAGCGTGACCCTTACTGCGCAATTCGATCTTTTTGAAATGTGACCTTTTAAACACCTCACAGTACAGCTGTGAGTGTTATCAGTAGAATTTAAAGAGGGCGAGCCTGGAGTGTAGGAAGCTCCCGGCCAGTTAATTGGAATGGCAGGCATTTTCAAGGAGGAACTTCGGAGAGGCAGCTTCTGGCTAGTGAGTTAGCCCTCTGGATGGTAGCAGAAGTGTGAGATGCATGTCCCACTCTTAGAAGCAGTTGCCCTGGCCTGCAAGAGTAACGCGTGACAAACGCCCAGTAGAGGTAGTCCCTGACCAAGGTTACTTTTAAGCTCTAAGTGTTCTCACACAGGGCACGTGTATGAGAGCTGGAGCTTTCAAAGGAAGTGGCATTGCAGTTGAGTACTGAAGCGGTGAAAATGAGGTTGCTAGATGATATGTTTACAAGTCACAGGGGCAGGGCTAGCAAGTGGTGCAGAGCTTAAGGCGCTGGATCCCACATGGCCAGCTGTGCAGTTTGAGTCCCAGACTTGGCAGCTTGAAAATTCTGAGTTGTGGGACCAGCAGAAGGCGGAATGGTTACATTGCTAGATTCCCACGTAGTCGACTGTGGTTCAAGCCCTGGACCTGGAGGATTAAAACTCACACAGGGGTGGGGGGATGGGGCAGCAAGTGGCATGGTGGTTAAGGTGCTGGACTTCCACATAGTTGACTATGGTTCAAGTCCCAGACGGGTGGCTTACTTTCTCACTTTCTCTCTCTCTCTGGTCAAATTAAAATAATAGCAATAATAATAAATTAAAATTTAAAAACAAGACAAACAAAAACTCATCCTGGTCACATGTGTGTGTGCACCCAAGATCCCTATAGCAGAATGGAGGAGAATGGACTGTGGCATGGCCATCCCCCTGCAGGGGTGAGTTCTCACTCTGTCTCTCTGTTGAGTGCATGTGCCCTATAGCAAAAATCTCTAAAAGAAACAATAAGAAAGAAAAGAAAAATTCCTGGTTGCCTATGCGTATATGCCCAAAGTCCCAAGAGGGGACTGGAGAAGAAAAGATTGCTGCATGGCCACCCCCCACCCCCAGGGGTGATTTCTCAGTTTCTCATTTTTCCTCTCTCTGTCACTCTGGCAAGTGCATATGCCCTATGGCAAAAAAAAAAAAAAGAAAGAAAAATCAACCAAACAAAAGACATAAGAGTGAAGAAGCTAGTCTAGAATCAAGAGGATTTGCCGAGGAGAAGTATTTTAAGACGGAAGCACCTAAGAGATCCTAAAACCATCTTCTTTACTCTCTTCGTTCACATGTGGTCGACTTGGGGGTGTGAAAGGCTATGAGGCCAAGAGAATGGACCGCCTGAGCTGTCCTGGCCTGGGGATGGGAAGCCTTGAGAGCCAGGAAGCGGAGAGTTTAGATGCTAGCTAGGTTGCTTTCTAAGAAGCACAGAGCGTGGTGAGGCGTTTCTAGGAAGAATCTAATTTAGGGGCATGGTTGCCGTGTCAGAACTGTGGTGCTGCCTGCCAGTCCAGCATGGCTAGCCTTGCCATTGAAGGAATGATTTTATATACTCGCCCTTCGGCTCCTGAGCCCTCCGGTGGTTTCTCTCCTCCTCCACCTGCCCCCAGCCTCAGTCCACATGTGTTAGTGCTGGGTGAGGCACCAATGCTGCCCTCCTCACTTCACTTGCATTTTTACTGGGACAAACCTTCGAGAGAAAACAATGCATGTGAAAGTTGAGTTTCAGGCTCAGCAGCTTCCGATTTTAGACCTGGTAAGGGATCCTCACTTGTGTCCCTGGAATCAGGGAGTATTCTTGGAGCAGACCGGAGTATGGGGAGTTTGAAATCCGATGATGGTGTTCTGTGCTGGGACTCGGTAGGCCCTCCTTGGACAGTGAATGAATGAGCTGGTAGACAGGCTCAGAGGTGCAGGGTGCTTACAGACAGAGGGGACAGACAAATGGAAATAAACCTTCTAGAGGACGAGTTGTAAATGGCAAATTTTATCTTTTTTTAATTATAAATTTTAAAGGAGAAGTTTTAATGGAGAATTTCATGACTTGGTGGTCCTGAAACACAGTGGGGGAAAGAGCACTAAAAAAAAAAAAAAAAAAAAAGCGCCGCCACAA